ATGTTCATCTCAAATCCTAACGATTTCTAAGAAAGTGTTCCGTCTAGCCTACTACATTAAGAAACTTAGACTAGCTGGAATCACCCAATCTCTACTTTCACAATTTATCAACTCTCGTATCTGACCTATTCTACTTTACTGCTCCCCATTAGTCTTTCCTGGGTTACTTAAAAAGGACTATACCATCCTGAGAAGGATGTTGAAGGTAGTTAGTAGGACTAGTGGTGTAAAACTCAGTCAGCTCATCACTACATTAGTAGATAAGCATCTGAATACATGTGAGAAATGGTCTAAAACCATGCTCCCCGACCCCAACACCCCCTCTATTCCCAACTCTCTCCTTGTATCTCATCAGGTATATCCGGAAATCAGTACAAAATAGTATATGCTTGTACGACCAAGTATATGAACTCAACGATACCATATTCGGCCCTTGTTCTAAGTGACAGAGACAATGTTAAGCGCGAAACCTATGACTTGATTTGTTGTCAAATAACATAATTTTGGCTCTTTTATTTCTTTCATATTTGTATTCTATAGTAAACACCTTCTTAAACATACTTAGCTACCTAAAATTATTAACATTGGTTCACTTTTTTATACTTTATTCTATTCCTTCTTTTGTGTATCTAGTGGTTCCGACTATATTAGCACTATGAGTATTACAAAATTGTCCTGTCATTAAACATCATGTAATATTAGTTTTGTGATTGTTTTTTCTTGTCCGGCGATACTAACTGACCATCTTGGTTGTGAATGCCATTATCACCATCTTAAAAATCGTCTAACAAATAGGAGGGCATAAGATAAGCAAATCAATCCTGTAAAATCAGCACCTAAAACGACTGGAACCTCAATACCTGGGGATCTAGTTTTCACTGAGAACTCAAATTTGAAGGGGGTGGGGGAAAGTAAGAAAATGCTCAAATTCTACTCATAGATTAACCTATTTCATCTGTCAGAGATTTAGAGGTAACAAAACACTAATCTCATGAAAAATATATATGAAATTCTATCTGAATGAATAAAGCAAACACAAAACCTAGGATACACCTGTTTTTAAAGAGTTCTAATGTTGTGTGAATTAAGGCTAGTCCCGAAAATCTGTAATTACAAACCTACTTTATTAACTTTCAAGGATTGATCTGTAAGGAATTGAATTGTGTTTTTTCCGAATTTTACCATGGCTTGATATCAGTTAGAGAACCATTGAAAACCAGCCACAGGGAGTAATGGACAACTGCTTCATCCTAGCTTGGGAATCATTAGCAGTACGCACCCACCACATGAGGGTTGGAACCCAGGACCTTCCAGTTACAAGACAAGCTCGTATACCATTCAGACACTGGCACCTGACCCGGTTCAATAGCCAGTAAACAAGTTATAACTTCTACCAATTCGTGATGCATTTAGCGCGATTACCAACCAATTTTATCGGTGGAAAATCTATCCTTACTCCCGACTGAATGCACCTCAATGGTCATGACTTCATAATAATAATAATTTGGATTATTCTAAAACATTACTTGTGATACAGAATGGAATTCTCAGCATTTTACTACACTATTACATCCAGTTAGTACATTATTCAATAAATAAAATTCTACATAGATTAAGGGTAATCTCAGTTAGTTTTGACAACACATATTAGCATATCGGTAGCAAAGCCAAAAGTGAACAGAATGTTTGAAGGTGTTAGAAAAGTAGATACTAGCATATTTACTGGCGTAAGCGGTAACAAAATCGTCGAGATATACAGAGTGTGAAAGAACGAAGAAGAATGTTTTAAGTAGAATTTGTGAGGAAGAGAGAAACAAAACAGAGCATAACAAAAAAAGAAAGGAAAGAAAGAGAACGTTGTACCTATAAATGATATGAGTTGGAAAGACGAGACCCAGTTGTTCTACTGACTATTTAATAAGTTATAGATATCATGCCCAATGATTTCTTTATTGCACAGAACACGAGCTAAGTAGGGTATGTTTGAGTTTTTGTACTTACTAGTGCGAGCATATAGTTTTCTATATAGGCAGGCTTCTGGTTCTGCCTAATGAGATGCAAGGGGAGAGTTGTGAACGAAGAGGGTGGTGTGAGTTAGACAGAATGGATTTAGCCCATTTTTCACACGGTCCATGTGCCTGTTGACCAGGATATTAACAAGCTGGTTAAGTGGCACCTGTGGCTTACCCTGCTGACAACCTTTAATATCCTGCGTAATAAGGTATAGTCTTTCTTCAGTAGCCAGGAAAAACTAAGGGGAACAATGGAGAATAATAGGCAGGGCGCAAGAGTTAACGACTTCTCACTTAAACTTCACAAAACTCCATACGACAGCAAGTCGTTAGTGAGCATCTGAATAATTTTCAAGGACTGATTTTTAAGGATTTGATTATTATCATTATTATTTACTATATTGTTCACTTGAGTTTCGAATAGAATATAAAACTTCAACAGCACGCCTAGATTTTTTCCCTATATTCTGAGGTCCCTTACATCAGCTGGCCTCAAGATTGCCCATAGTCTCTGTTATGTACTGCTGAGTAGTTAATTTTCCCCACACGAAAAGGGGAAAATCAGAAGACCACCAGGTTCACGATGATATGTGTATTTTCCGATTAGGGAAATTGACTGTCACACAAGTGTGTGAGTAAAAGGGTACGTAGTGTACGAAATGTGTGAACAAGTGTGTATATAAAGTGTACAATGCAAAAGTATATATGAAAATGGCTAATATACATGAACCAATAAGAGAGACATCTTACCGACATTGGATTCTGATTGATTGTAATGTCATGTGATAAAAAAGTCATACATTGTTTACTTAGTTAATGGACAGACAAAGCATGTTGTCAGTTATAATGGAATATCGATCATATACACATAGCGAAATATAACAGACTGTCAAAAACAAAACATACATCATGTGACTACATATAGTCTCTCATCTGCTCTGTAAATGGTTCCCTTCATGTCACAATCAAACCAACGCCAAACTAATCCTTTCCTACTCAGGTTAGACTCGAGCGATGGTCTAGCGCGTGAAATCACTTGACAGTCTCCATAATGTGTGTGTACAGTCCACCTCATTCTCCTTAATGAATATCAGTTGAGCAAAAGGTTATTGATTGGTTCGTTTTCAGCTAGAGTTTAATGTTACTTATTCTTTCTGGCCATATGATTTTCCCGATGCAGCGAAGGTGACTGCTGATAAAGGCCTTCTGTAGCTTGTTCGAAGTACTCTCCATGATGCATGCGCCATGCTTCTAATCCATTTAGAAGGACGCTGAGAATCTGAACTCTGTTCTTTATGCTGCTGAGGTAAAGTGCAGTAGATTAGCAAATCAATTTCATAGTGATAAAGGTCTGTTTTATTCAGCTGAATTTCAGATTTTCCCGACGATTGATTGAACTGGAGTGCTCAGTCTCAGGTTGACATGTTGGCTTCCTGTGCGGATGCTTCGACGATGCCTGGACATGGAACTTGAAGTCATTTGGTGGGTGGTGACTAGTAGTTGAATCTAGCCAGGATGCGCATTTCGTCCTATTTGAGACTCGACAACTGCATTCTCAGTGAGTGCTGGTATTCCTATGGAGGCTCAGATCCAGTGCCATAGTTTCAAACGCCTCCTGGATTCCACTGCTAGCCACCGTCCACCAATTAAATTCAAAGTCTGCTTTGTCTCTCCAATGCCTGGCAGTTTTTGACATCTTCATCTGTGTGTCATCGCCTCTTAGTTGAAACGATACTGCCTTGTAGGATAAGTGAAGCAAGTGACCTGTTTCGAGTTTCTCCTGTTGATAGTGACTGGCGCTGACTGCTGTGGTTGTTGTCGGTTAGTTGGTTGGTTATTTTCACCACCTTCTTCTTCTTTATGCTCACCCAGAGTTCTGTCTTTGCTAATAGCCGGCCTTTTCAGTCAGTTTGCTGACTTTCGACTGGCTATCTGCCTGGCTGCCAGTAAGTCTTCGAGTTTTTCAACGCTAGACATAAATTTTGTCTTGATTTTCGACTATAGCTTGATTCTACACAGTATTTTTCATTGTCATAGCAGCATTATCCAGCGTCAATCACCATCCATGCGAGAGGTTTGAAAGAGGTTACTTCATTCACTCACTTATCTAGGGAGCATTGTCTCAACTACAGTGAGTCGGAACGGACGAGGATGTCAAATCGAACGAGAATCGGGAAGGCGAGAAACACATTATTCATCAACCTGAAACCAATCTGGAAATCTTCGTCACTCAGCCAGATCAACAACAAAATTCGGTCGGATTTTCAATACAAACCAGGTGAAGTCAGTCAGTTCTTCTATACAGATCAGAAACTTGGCGGGCGGGCGGGTCACAAAGAATATTTCCAATAGCCTGTTGCAGACCTTTATCAACAACTAACTGTCTTCGCTGGATCTATGCTGAATGAGGATCAGATAGCCGGGCCGGGAAGAATCACCAACAATAGACTATGGGAACAAACGAACAAAACAAGAACCAATCGCCAACCAACAAATATGCCGGGGAAAGTGGAGATGGATTGGACACTCGCTGGCTGAAGAGGCCGCTGGGTGACATCGCGCGCACGTCAAGCCATTGCTTGAGTGGAACCGGTCCGAAAGGGAAGCGGCTAGTGGGACTTCCAAGAGGGGACATGTAGGAGATCGTGTGAAGAGGAGTTGAAAGAGTATGGACTAACATGGATGCAGGTGAAAAGTACAGCAGAAGGAAGACAGAAGTGGCAAGTGGAGACGTGCAGTTGAAGCCCTATGTTCCACTACGAACCCAAGAGAACAACAATAATAACAATAAATTTAGTAGGCCAGCTATTGACATCAGCTGTGCGTTGGCGGAAGATCGAACCCCAGTAAATATGCATGGCTGGCGAGAGTCCTAACCCCCTGTGCCACCAACACATTTAATAAACCCCTTCGTGTTTTTCTTTTAGTTTAAAAATGCTAATAATTATATCTCATGTTGCAACAAAAAAAGAGAGTTAGAAAACATACCTATTGGATCAATCCATACACCAAATGTACCCGGATCATTAAATCTCTCGTTTAATTGTTGTCCATTGAAGCAATTGTTACAACTTTCAATAAGATGTTCCCAAATTTTACACACTGGTAGCTGTGTTTTAAACCATTCCAACGGTTGAAAACAAATTTCACTTAATTCATTGGCAAACTCTTCATTATTACCAAAAACATCGACTAATTCGGAGGGAGAGAGAGAGTGGGAGAAAAAAAACAGAAAATGAAGAAAGTTAAAGAAACGAAGTTATTTAATGAATATAGTTCATATATTAACTGATAAATTAGACATTATTATCAATATTATTGTATCCTTTAATTCCTAGAGGAACATAGGGATTCAGTCGCGTGTCTACATTGCGTTCGGTTTACTGCCAACTCTTTCACCCAGCTCAAAGTCTGCCCACGCGCTTTCATCTCATCTTCACATGACCTCCTCCAAGTCACCCCACTCTCGAACTGACGACCAACTCGCCGCCCGCTTCCCTTTCGGGTTCCACTCGAGCAATGGCTTGTCTACTGATGTCCCTTGATGGATTGTTTTCTCAGAGTATGGTCGATCCACCTCCATTTCTTCCTGCATATTTGTTGTACAATCAGTTCTTGCTGAGTTGGTTCGCTCATTGCCAGAGATCCTTGTTGCTAATCTTTTCCATCTGGTGTTCAGCGAAGTATTGGGCGAAGACAGCTGTTGGTGAAGGTGTGTAGTTTGTTTGAGATGCTCTTCATGACGCGTCAAGTCTCTGATCCGCACAGTGAGTAGCACTGACTTCACATCGCAGTTGAAAATCCATAATTTATTTTCATTTTCATTCTGAGTGGTGTTGACCTCTACACAGACTTGGTGAGAGTAATGAAAGCTCGCCTTGCTTTTCCGATTCTGGCTTTGATATCCTCGTCAGTTCCACCTGTGGTTGAAACGATGCTTCCCAGGTAGGTAAAGGAAGTTGTTTCTCTCAGGTTCCTCCCACTTATGCTGGCTGATTGTTGTCTGTGTTTGTGATTGTTGTTGCTGTTGGCCAGGAATCTTTATCACCGACATCTGTTTTCTCTATGTTCACCCCAAGGAAGTCATATCTTCTCTGGATGATTCTTCTGCCAACTTGTTGCTTTTTACTTGCACATCTTCCAGCTTGTGGGAAATCAAACATCAGCGAAATGCAGATCTTCCAGTTTTATTTGTGTGAGTCCATTTTATGCCTATTTCCTCGCTTCGCGGACCGCTGTCTGTCGCATTATCTAACCTACTGCAATGAGGAAAATCATTAGTGATAGTAGGCAGCTTTGACCCTAGTTAGTGTCAAATAAAAATGAATTAGTTTCATTATCACCACTTGAGAAATCCAATGTAAACCAAAGATCAAAATCATAAATTCTTCACTGTTGTGTACACAGAAGATGACACCTTAGGTCATCAGACGATTAGGTTTGTACATTATTATTACTTGTTTAGTTGATCAGCATTTTACAGTATGATTCTTCATAGTTCTCCATTTTTATTTGGTCACCATCTACTCTTACACTCTAGCAGGTGAACATTATCAGTCATCACACATCATCCTGTTGAGGAATTTTGAGATATCCAATTTGGAGTTAACTACTCATTAGAAATGGAGTGTAAAAATGATATTTGATTTTCAAGTTATGATCATTGTTAATTCTGCTCTTTGATCCTTGATTCTTAAATTTTTGAAAGGAATATTCAAGTAGACAATCAGCATTTCTGTACTATCATTATCAATATTATTTATCCCTTGAGTTCCTAGTCGAATGAATATAGCACTTCAGCTGAACATCCTTATTGCAATCAACTGATGACACGAATTCCTAAAAACTTTTATTTTCTTCCGACGTCATCTTCTTCATTTCATTCTCGTAACCGTGCCCAACTCATTGCCTGTCATTAAGGTTCCACGAGACAGTTTCCCTGATGTGCCACATCACTTGAAACATCTTCTCCATTTCTACTGTATATATTTTACAGTAGTAGGTTGTTGGCTGGTACCTTGACTAGTAGAGGCCTCTGTTTACAGGATTACAACTCATTCGTTAAGTTATTCATCTTATTACACAGCTGTATTACGCTAATTCAGCTTATTTTATGCTGTCAGTAAGTATGCTTTTTGACAACACATCACGACTACCCTTCTTACCAAACGTCACGCACACACAAACTAGTTAAAATTTAATTACTCATCGCATTTCTGAATTGTTTCACAACAATAACCCTAAGTTTGTTTGCATATTCTCTTCCTTGAATCTAAATACTGGGGAGGTCAGGCATAGCTACACTACCAGCATTATGTCCTCAATTGGCACTTTCGTCTTAAGTTCGAGTTCTTGGTCAAAATGAGTTCGTTTCTGACCGCCTCTATAGCCATATTTATTCGTATACGTGTAGATAAACTGACAATGTCAAAAATAACCATTTTTTTCTTCATTATCTAATTTTAAATTATCTAATCTGTATTTTAGTTCATAAGTCCACTTGAGTAAATAACGCTGGGAGTACAGCTATGCTTGACTTTCACAGTATTTAAATTCCGGGGGAAAATATGCAGAAAAAAAGAGGGAGTTGCCATGGGGTCGTCAATATCCCCGACTGTGGCAGATATATTCATGGATATGTGGGAAAAGATAGCAATTGAAACGTTCACCCCCACCCAAAAGTATGGTGGAGGTGTGTAGATGACACATTCACTGTACTTAGAACACAAGATATAGATAGATATTTCGAACACATCAACTCGAAGGTATAGGCAATTCAATTCACTTATGAATTGGAAAGTCAGGAAGGGAAGCTTCCAATGTTAGATTGCAACGCAAAAAGGAAAGATGTGAAGTTAAACACTGGTGTTTACAGAAAATCCACACATTGAAGCATATTTGAACTTCCGATCATCCCATCCTATGTCAGTGAAAATAGGATTGGTAAAACGTTTAAGTGACAGAGCACAAAAACTAAGTAGTACTAAAGAAAATCTAAGACAGGAAGTGATACACCTAAAAGAAGCCTTGAAACTTAAAAATTACCCGGATAAATTAATCAAGAAATATGTAAGGAAATGTAAAAATAAAATAAATAATGATAGTAGTGATAGCGATAATAATAATAATGGCAATATTAATGATGACATGCATGTCAAACATGCGCGAGATAATGACAGCACCAACAATAAGGAATCTAAATCATCAGTAGTAATTCCATACAAGGAAGGAACCTCGTAAACCTGACGCAGAATTCTTAACAAGGCAGACAGAATAAAAGTGACCGGCATTCAATCCACCCAAAAACTCACTTAGAAACATGCTTTGTTGGTTAAAGGATAAGTCCTGTGGAGCCTTTAAAACAAAACAATTTAGCTTATCTAATACGCTATCTGCAATGATTGCCAGGTCAAATATATGGGTCAGAGTAGTAGAACAGGGGCAATCGTTGGTGGAACATCCATCCATCCAGTTGGAGTCGCGCTAAATCACGAATTGGTAGAAGCGAGAGTTCATGAGCCATTGAATCGGGTCCCAGTGGCTGAATGGTATATGAGCTTGCCTTGTAACCGGAAGGTCCTGGGTTTGAATCTCAGTGGATGCGTACTGACGATGATTCCCAAACTAGGATGAAACAGAAGCTGTCCATTACTTCCTGGTTTTCAATGGTTCTCTAACTGATATCAATCCATGATCAACTTGTAAAAAAATATTATGATTATTAATTCAATATTCCAGTCGCTTCAGTGAGAATGTATTCGTTTGTCTTAAATTGATAATAGATAGATTATTCGTAACCCCAACATGTCACAGAATGATTTCAACTAGTAATCCTGAGTTCCAACATAAAGAATTTCAGTGTATACAGAAGGAAATGAAAATCTCCGCGAATGTGTGCTATTCAATTATGAACCAACATTTTCTTTAGTATTTAAAGTATATTTACAGGATATCATCATGAGCTGACGTCGGTTAGAGAAGGATTGAAAAACCAGCCAGGGAGTACTTGAAAGCTGTTTCGTCGCAACCTGGGACTCTTCATCAGTACGCAACCACTGCAGGGTCTTCGAACTTAAGACCTTCTGGTTACAAGGCCAACGAGCTCGTCGACAATTTAGTAGCCACTGGGACTCGATCCAATGGCCAGACTATGCATTCCAACTCCGATGAATTCACGATATATCACAACTGGTACCAGCCAGTGTCATTCGTGGCGAGTATTAGGACTCTCGCCGACCATGCACACGGTCCGAGGTTCGATCTCCTGCCCACCCACACCTGATATCTATGGTCAGCCTGAAAAATTTCGGCTACCGATATCCATGCTGGAAATTCTATACTTATACCAAAAATACAGTGTGGAATCAAGCTGTAATGAAGAATAAAAAATTTTAAAAAATTAAAATATTTTTCCTAACGCCCAACCTGCCGTATCCTAGTGGTCACGAATTCCCAGTAGAACCCCACTAGAACTACCTAAGTGAAGAGGGCCAGTGGCTAATGAGTATTTGATTGATATTCAAGTGTCGGTTTGTAGGGATTTGATTGATTTGCTACAAGATTTTATCATGAGTTGAACCATTGGAAAACTTTCAGGGAGTACTGGACATCAGTTGGAAGAACTGGTGTAAATTGTAATTGATGGATTATTTGATCCGCTCCCAGCGACTGCTCAATGGTCTACGAGCTCGCCTAGTAAACATAGGGTCCTGAGTTCATACAACCTGTGGTGGGTGCGTACTGATGAAGAGTCCCCAACTATCCACTCCTGCCTAATGGTTTTCCACAGGCTCTTTAACCAATGTCAGCAGATGATGAAATTCTGTAACCAACTTATTTTTGTTATGATGACAATTGTAACTAATTCGAAAATTCCGACAACAATCATGTTTTTTTCTGAAAAGATATATTTTTGTTTAAACTTGTCAAAAACTTACAACACTACAGAGTAAAAGTACAGTTAAACAAAAAGGAGAGAGAGAGAGAGAGGGAAAAACACAAGTACAATAGAAGAAAACAAATTGGGTGATAAACAAGGAATGTAGTGATATTAACTGCACCCATGACTACCAAAAGTGTATACATCATAAAAGGAGGGACAAAGTAGTTAAGTAAGTAAGTAAGTAAGTAAGTAAGTAGGTAAGTAAGTAAGATACTGAAGCATTGAAAGACTACATGTAAGGCGATAGTAAGAGGAACGAACAGTAATACTACCGTGTTTGTCATCTTTAACCAATTGGAGTTTGCTTCTCCTTCACAGTAAACTCCTTATTATCATTACCACTATTATCTTATAGACATGCACATTAGTAGTGTAGAAGTGGAACTTCTTTTTGTCACAAACTTAATTATCGATTTTACAAAATACAACAGAAAAATGCGATGACATTTTTCAGCCGAAAAATATACTAAAATATTTCTGCCTTTTTTTGTTTTTTTTTTTTCCATTATGTGATAGTGTTTTTGTTTTATTCAATCAAAACTTCAAGCTGACCCTTCTACTAATTTCCTAGCCAAATATCAGTTAGGTAAAGTGGACTGGGATTATTATTACTTTTATATTATTGGTTCGTTTAATTCTTAGAGGAACATGGGGCTGCAGTCACACTTCGACATTGCGTTAGCTACTCCGCCAACATTTTCACCTCAATTCATATCTGGCCATATGCTTTCTTCTCCTGTTCACATCACCGCCTCCTCCATGTCACCCTAGCACTGACGACCAACACGCCACTTCCTATTCGGGTTCCAGTCGAGGGCTTGTCTAGGGATGTCACTTGATGGTTTCCTCAGAGTATGACCAGCCAATCCACCTCCATTTCTGCCTGCTTATTTGTTGCACAAACGGTTTCTGTTGGGTTGGTTCGTTCACTGCCAGAGATCCCTGTTACTGATCGCTTCTGGTCGGCCATCTGATCTTGAGCGAAGTATTAAGTGAAGACAGCTGTTGATGAAGGTGTGTAGTTTGTTCGAAGTGCTCTTCATGACGCGCCAAGTGTCCGATTCATAAGGTAACACTGACTTCACACATTGGAGATGAAAATCCGGATGTTATTTTCCATGTTGAGTGATGCTGTTGATCTACACACAGACTTGAGAGTAATCAAAGCTTGTCTTGCTTTCATGATCTTCGCCTTGATATCCTCATCAGTAATTGAAACGATGCGTCTCAGGTAGGTAGGTGAAGGAGGTTTCTTCTTTCAGATTCCTCCCATTTATTCTGGCTGATTGTTGTCTGTTGTCGTTGTTTCTGCTGTTGGCCATGAATCTTCATCACTTCTGTTTTCTCTGTGTTCATCCAAAAGACATCCTATTTTTGATGCTTGTTCTGCCAGCTTGTTGCTTTTCACTTGCATATCTTCCAGTTTGTGTGAAATCAGACATATATCATCATCGGTGAAGTTCAGATCCTCCAAGTTTTTTGTGTGGGTCCATTTTATGCCTGTTTCCTTGCTGCCAGCCGCTGTCTGTCATATTATCTGGTCTACCGCAATCAAGAAAATCATTGGCGATAGTAGGCAGCCAGCCTTGTCTTACTCCTGTCTTCACTTCGGAGGATTCCGTGAGTTTCAAGGTGGACTGGGAAGTGAACTTGAAACTACAAAATGTCTTGTAAGGCATTCTATTATCGAAAGACTTAAATATAATACAAAATATGACTGATTGAATTTCGCTATATAAGTCTTCGAGTTCAAATAACCACACTCCATGTTCAAAAGGAACCAAAGTGAGGAAAAATGTACACGAGAAGGGATTGTTCCATTATTCCCTAATTAAAAAACTTTTTAGAAAAAAGTCACTTTTTTTTTGCCTTCCCGCGCTTCTGGAAAAATTATTAAATAATATTAAAAAAATTTTACTTACAATTTTTTAAAAAAAACCACAATATACAACAAAAAATATAAAATAAATTAAAACATTCCAAAAAATAATAAAAAAGGAAATTTTATTTTTTTGGGAAAAGGGAAATTATCCTTCCAGGGCAAAGAAAGGCTGATAACCGCTTCTTTCTAATGAACGCATAAATCAGGTTTCAGGCGCTTGATGGAAATGGCCTCAGCAAACTTAAGGAGAATTGAGCTCTTTTGCCTAGTGATAATTTTGAACAACTTTTCGACGTCCACTTCATGACCCGTGTCGAGGAGATGCTTGGCGATGGCACTGTTTAAAGCATTTGTTCCCGCTGAAGACGTAAGCTTTTTGGTACATGTTCAGAAAATCGTAGATATGCCCTTCTTTCTGTCCTTCCAATGTAACTGCTCCTCAGTCAGATACATGTAAATTTGTATATACAGTTGGAGGTGACATGAGAAGGATATCTATCGATTTTTGACTTCACCAAAGAGCAAATTGTTCGATAGACGATTGTGGTGGTTCCTTAACTGATGTCAGCTCATGATGATGAAATCCTCCATACAATCAAACAAAAATCCCTACAAAATCAATACTTGAAAATTAATCTGATGCTCACTATCAACTGGCCCTATTCAGACAGTTAACCTGGGGTTCTAGTGGGAAGCTGTGTCCAGTAGGTTACAGCAGGTTGAAGATGAGACAGTAACTCATTGAAGAAGTCATTGCGAAATTGTCGCGCTATGTCTTGAATCGGCCGAAGTTGTAATCCATAGTCTGGCCATTGGATCGTGTGCTAGTCGCTAAATAGTCTACAAGCTTGCTTTGTAACCAGAAGGTCCTAGTGTGCTTAAACCCCGATAGGCGCGTACTGATAAAGAGTCCCCAAATAGGACGAAACAGCTGTCCCGTACTCCCTGCAGGTTTTCTAGTGGTTCTCTAACTCATGTCAACTCATGAAGAAATCCTCCATACAATCAAATAAAGATTACACCACTACGAACTATTTTGATCCATCCTAGAAATATTCGCTAGGCAATATTTCTTAACGTCACAAGGACACCAATCAGAAGGTCTACATATCTATCTCTACATGCCTGACATAAATGAATTTTGAAAGACTTCATGAAATGATGCTAAATTTTAGTTTGATTATCCTTAACTCTCCTCTCTCTCTCTTCCAACCCAACCCGATGTAAGTTAACACTATTCGTGGTGACCCGGTATGCGTTACACGTGTCCTAGTCATCTCAGCCAATGTGACTTCATTAAACAGAAGACAATTACCTGTAGTTAAATACAATTACGATTTTTGTATCTCTTACTTTCAATGACCATGTTCTGCAGCCATAATGAAAGATTGAGTGAACTGCTACGCAACTGACGCATCGTTTGGCAAATACCACACGAGTGTTTTGTATCCTTGCTGAGATTTCAATATCAATCATTTAGTGTACTGGAGCTGATACATCTCCTGTAGGAGATCAACCACTAGCTGAAATAGTTCCGTGGTAACTTCTCTGACTGCAGCATTGGATGACATGGGTTTGAACCTCAGAAGGAGAGACATGAGTTCTTTCAAAAGGATTGAAGATACACGCCTTTCTGACTGACTGACTGACTGACTGACTGACTGACTGACTGACTGATGAGTGTTAACTAGCAAGAAACCTACCTAGGTTTAGCCAAGACTTCCTACCGATTATCTCCAACCATTTGATATGTCATTTAGACTATAATTATGATCAATAAAATAGTCAGTGTTAATTTACATAGGTCAGTCTCCAGACTGGTTAGTGATCATCATATCACCATAAAAGGATTCTCCATTGTTTATCTACCTACCTGTCGATTCCGAAAAAAAATAAAGATGAGTTAAACACATAGTGAGGAGACTGTTTGGTGACATGAAGCGCCAGGAATGCTTCTGAATCCTACCAAAATAAGAAACAATGAGTTAGGCATGGGTTGAAAGGCGACACATGGCGGAGATCGTGTCAGGAGGAGAAGATGAAAGCTTATGAGCAATCCTTGGGCCACCCAAACAGCACAGCCTCAGGATGGTCGGGGGTGGGTCTTGCGCTGCGGGTTGGCCACCCTCCGTACACCTCTTGAAATGCTCCATATGACCGGGCGTCTTACATAGCCTCTCCTGAGGAAGTCCTACTCATGCTTCACGTGGCGGAGGTGTTTTTCACCGAAGTGAGAGGGCAAAAGCGGATGCCCGGCGCTCCTCACCGGGTTGACTGTCCATTGGATGACAGTCTAGGGAGATGGCTAAACCCTGATTCCAAAGCTCCAACGACTGGCGTATGAAGCTCACCGGAGCTCACCGGCAGACGTATGGACAAAGGGCTTATTGGATTCCCTGGATGACTGGCCCCATTCAAAAAGGCGAATGAACCGGTCACCGGCTCCCAATGAATAGTGGACTCCCTACTCCACTCCTACTGCCTTGTAGGTCACACTTGGTTGTGTAAAGGCTAGAGCTGCACTCTCAAACAAAGGCCGAGCGATGCTGGGGACATCACTCGTACCCAATTCCCATGAAATCATGAATCCGGCTCATCCTCCCGTAGGAATAGCCGAAGTAAACACTCAAGATAACACAAGATAAAATTGAGATGTGCTGAGAAAGCTTTGTTTTCTACTTGAAACTCGAAGGAATAATAGTTTACGACATAGCGTGACCATTAGCCAATGTCTTCAGAGATTGTTTGTCCTCGAGCACCCTACTGGTCATGACTTCCCACTAGGAAACCAGGTAACTACCCACCTGAATAGGGCCAATCGCTAGTGAGCATCTCATTCATATTCAAGTATTGTTTTGTAGGATTACAGCATTTTATCATGAGCCGGCATCGGCTAGAAAACTATTGGCATGAGGACATATACACAGACTAAGAAACTGGCAGAAGTTGGAATTCGTCGGCTTGCCATTGGATTAGGTCCGAGTAGCTGCTTAATAGTCTGCAGCTTGACTTGTCACGGGAAGGTTCTTGATTCAAATCCCGGTGGTGAGTGCGTGCCGCTGAAGAGTCTCAAGCATTAAAACAGAACAGCTGTCCAGTGCTGCCTGTTTGTTTTTCAATTGCTCTTTAACCGATGTCAGTTCATGATGGAATCCTGTAAACCAATCAATCAAATTCCTAAAAACCAATACTTGAATAATAATAATAATAAAATGATATAACATGTTAATTCATTTATATCTGCAACAATTAACAAAAAGAAGCAAATAGTATAGTCGCTAACTACTTGTACTTACCTAATAAATTAACAAGATTCTCTTTTGTTGTAAGTTGTATTGTAACACTTTTACCTGAATTACTAGAGAAACGATTATTCTCTTCACCGAATACTGATTCACCGAATCCAGGAAACTGAAATTTGTAAGAGCAAGCAAGCAAGCAAGAGAGAGAGAGAGACAGTTAACTAATACAGCGAATGTATTATACAAAACAACAAATCAATTAGATAATTCCCATTGTAGCATTAGGAAAACACAATATTCAGCGAAGTAGAGACTATTTTCAACAACTTGAATTTATTCTCATCAAGATATACAATCGTGTATAATGTGGGGTTCGTTTTTAAGAAATGATATCCGGTGAGGGAAATTCGATCAAAGGTGTGAACATATGAAATAATAATAACAGTAGTATGCGATGCAATTTAAATATTTGTGATCATAATCACAGTTAAATATCAAGTGGCAAAATAATTAATGTCATATATAGAATAATGCATAAGGTGTATAGATGTTGGAAAAAGACACATAATTGCAGGATTAGTAGGCTAATGTAAAACGTCGTTACATAACATGGTGTGAAATTTGATAAAATAGAATTCAATATTGTAAAAATAAAAATAAAATAATAATTTTGGGTTTAGAATGACGAGTGAGACAAGTGGAAACAGTTTAGAGTGAGAATAGTAATAATAATAATAATGATAATAATAATAATCGTAGTAATAAGAGAAAGATACATTGAATAACTAAATAAACAAAATACAGAAATAAATAAATGTCTATCCCTCTACGGCTAAGGTAGAAGTAGGCAGTGTACATACTTCTTTTGTGCACAAATACTCGCCGAAGACATTGGCTAGCGGTTGCGCTATATCGTGAATTAGCAGAAGTTAGAATTCATGGACTGGTCACTGGATCGGGTCCCAGTAGCTTAATGGTCTACGAGCTTGGCTTGTAACCAGAAGGTCCTGGGTTCGAATCCTAGTGGGTGCGTAATGCTACTCCCAGGTACTCCCAGGGTTTCCAATGGTTCTCTAACTAATGTCAGCTCAAGATAGAATTAATTCACCCTGCTTTAGGATAAGAAAAATTTTCAGTTCTGATTGCGTTGACTCAGAACTTAACTTCTTAAAAGCCACGCTCGCAGAAAACGGTTACCCTAACCGATTTATTGACAGCAACATGAAAGATAAGCAGTCTAAACTGATCATCAACCCAGTTGCAAAGACAGCCTCATTCATGAACTTTGACTTCAAAGGTGATCAAGCTTCAGATAAACTCATAAATCGTCTCTCTAAATCAGTCAGTGAGACGTTCTATATATATATATATATATATATATATATATACGATTGTACATCTTGATGAGAATAAATTCGTTGTTGAAAATAGTCTCTTCTTCGCTGAATATTATGTTCTTAAATAAATTAGGGTCTTTGATTCACCTAGACAGAAAAAGAATCATTTTCAAGTTATTATCTTTCTCAGGGATTTGATTGATTTCACTGAAAGAGTATCAGGGAAAGCCAGTGAGTACTAGGTAGCTGATTTTGATCCTAATTTAGGTGAGTATTATTGAAGAGTCCCCGACCGGGGGATAAATGGCTACCCATCTAGGTCACTCTGTGGTTCTCAAAAGTTCTGTAATTCATGTCAGTTTATGAATTAACTTGAAAGCTTGTTTATAAAACAGTTATAATTATATTAGTGCGTCGGTGGCACAATGGTAGAGTGCTCTCCGAGCACACAGGTGGTCCGGGGTTAGATCCCTGGCCACGACTCACTCCTTCTTTACCTCGATAAGCCAGTAATAACACTGGTAAAGATGGCAGGTTGGGCATGAGGCTGGCTAGCAACCCCATCTTGTAAAAGTAATCACCACTGGGAACGTAAAGGAATAAAATAAATTATTACATTTATTATTTTACTCCTTTAAGTTCCCAGGGGAACATAGGATGGCTTCAAGCTAGAGGTTTGAAGTATCTGTAACACTGGTGTTTATTATTTTTACTGGATGGGGTTGTTTGTTATTCTACCCCCCATACTGCCTGTCTGTCTGTCTATCTGTTTACGACATAGAACTTTGCACAAATGTGCGGAAGTTCAAGTCGCCACACTCCGTGTAGCACGCGAAGCAAGAGAAGAAAGTACAAGAAAAGAATAATAGAAACAGTGAGCAGAGGTGTGAGACAAAGGAAGAGTAATAACGAAGAACAAAACAGTTTCATTGAAGATCATAAGTCACAAGGAGTGGATGCATCTGCGCCACTGAGAACGATTTTGAGCCATGTCACCAACTGTTTCCAACCATAGATTTTTACCGTCCCGAGGACCCCAGCCTGGAAGTCGTCTACACCTTCCTACGTGATTGGCTTAGACTAACTGTTGTGGATTTCATTGACTGGTAAAGCCAAGTTTTTGTCTGACCGCCGCTAGCTTTTTTCCAGCCTGACCCAACATCCGCTAACATTGCTCGTCGAGGGAGGCGATGACTTGGCATACGTAACACATGTCCTAACCATCTCAGTCTTTGTAGCTTCACGACTTCGTCGATTGATTTCCTCTGTTCACCTAGCACTCGACGCCTAACCTCCATGTTGCTCACCTTATTATGCCACTTTACACGGGAAATAGACCGCAGGCACCTATGATCAAAGAAAGCTAGTCTTTTCATGTCTTCCACTCTCAGTGGCCAGGTCTCGCTCACAGCCATAAAGGAGGATGGAGCGGACTGATGAGCAGTACACCCGCCCTTTGGTCGATAGTCGAACATCTCGTCTACGTCAGAGTCGGCGTAAACTGGCAAATGCGAAATGAGCCCCCTGTATTCGTGATGAGATTTCGTCAGAGATCACACTGCCATACCATATTGCCCATACTGCCTACTTTTCCTCTGGCATTACCAGCTAGGCGGAATTTAGGGGTAAGTGAACTGGTGTAACAACAGAAGACAAAGGCCAGGCAACAGATCGTTTATTAAGGAAATCAACACATATTTATAGATTTTCATGTACATGATTATAGATTATTGTCAGCAGAAAAACATAATCTTGTGATTGGTGGTTGTTTCTCACAGAAAGTTAACCTTGCAGCTCTTTGTGACTGTTTCTTCAATGTCAGATCATCCATATGTTAACTGTATCCACCTACGACCAATATTGGAGACATAAACATTGACGTAAATTACTGTCCACCAATTTTGACCAACAGCCAGCTCGCACCACAATGGGATTCGAGGTTAGAGCTTTCACGGAGTGGCTGGTGAAGATTTGAACACTGAGACAGTGATCCATGTATTGCAAAAATAAATCACAATATTTACTTTGTTCAGATAATGCCGATCAGCTATAGTTAATGTTTGTTAAATTCAGTAAAAAAATCAATATTTGCTGGTGACCACATTTCGAGCACAATTTATCACTTCTCATAATCATATCAAGGCATTACTCACACACAACTTTCTAACTTCATTTATATAATTCCATCAATATTTTTCATTGCTTGATTTGATTGGTAGTAGTATTTTCCATATTTCCGGTATGAATGTAGGATGAAGTCTCGATGATCCAGGCAGGATTCAGTAATCAATCAATGTATGGCGGAGGTGCTGGCAATTCATCAATACAACCCTGAACTCTGTATACAGAAAAAGTTTGTCCAGTCTCTCATTCTACTTTAATCTTAGCCTCTTCACTAATCGTTCCCCGTAAATATTTTTGATTTTTTCTTTTGTTCTTAAATCTTTAACTTTACTTTTAGTTTGCTTTTACTTTAATAATTAATCCACTATTATCAATCTCATATGCTCCTTTTGTATATTTTCACACCGTCTTCACACTTGTTCAATTGACACTCAAATACCACCTTTATTCTCCCTCACTCAAGAGCAATTTTAACCTTTTCTAACTTCTATCTTTGTTCCGTTGAGTACCATGTAGTTTTTAACTTTTAATTTTCACTTCTAAAGAAACTTATGAATAATTACATCAATTATGTCCCCCCCTATTACTCAATAATAGACTACTATACATTTTTCTAAGTATAAATACGACTGTACAGCCTCTGAAGATGATTTCGTCGATAAAGAAATTTTCTTCGCTGAATCTGTCTTTTATTTTCTTTATGACTCAATGGGTATTTTCCGTGATTAGTAATCAATCTCTCCCTCTCTTCACCTACCAATATTGTTTTTTAGAATTTTAACCCTCTCCCACCCACCCTATTGTGTGATTGTGTGTTGATGCATGCAGTGCAATGTAGTGCTGAGGTTTTTTTCTAAATTACTCATCTTCGCGGGTGGGGTCAACCATTCTGACCTTAACTAAATTCTTATGTTCTGACAAACTGACTATCTGTGTAGTTGACTTAACTCACAGTGATTGCAAGGTATTTTGTAAATCATATTATTTTGTCTAATTGGGTCAACCTACAGGGTCCATTAACCTACAGAGCTTGTCCTACCTGAGTCAATTTTGTAGGTTTGAATGCCACCCTAATTCTTATACACTAATTCCTGCTTTATTAAGAATCCTATGTAGGGTGTCAGATGTCCCCTACCTATATGGTTAAAATTAAGATGTTTTATATTTTTTCTTATTTATTTTTTATTAGTTTCATCACTATTTATATTTTGCTTTTGATATGTTCTGTTCTCCCGACGGGTGACTTACAAGCATCACAAAATGTAAGAGACAGCTAAATGCATTTTATTGCATTGTAAGTGTTAAGCATAAGTCTACAAATATTTGTCAATCGATTTCAACTAGGCGTCGGTGGTACAGTGGTTAGGACTCTCGCCGACCACACACATGGTCCGAGGTTCGATTCCCTGCCGACGAAGCACACCTGATATCTATGGTCGGCCTGCAAAATTTGGGCTACCGATATCACATGCTGAAAGTTCCATACTTGTACCAAAAATACAGTGTGGAATCAAGCTGTTATCAAAAATAAAATAAATAAATAAAAATATGAACAATAGTCTACAAATCGTTAATATAACGAATATGTACCAATATTCTCTCACTGAGACAGTTATTTTTAACAATAATAACAATAACAATAACAATTTCGCTTTATTCCAGAAACAGTACTTGTGGTACAGTGTGGAATTTTCAGCACATATCTACA